AATTCAAGTGCATTAGAAATTGATTTATTTGTGTGATTGTGTCCCTTTCTACATTTTTTTTACTGTTTTATTGCTTTTGATTCAGAGGTTGAAGAAGAAAAAAGGAATGCTCTTTCTTCTCTACAGAAGATTAAGAAGGTACAAACTTTGATGCTTAATGTACTAGGCATTAAATTTAGTAATTTGCTTAGTTATATGTTCTCGGTTAGTGTTGGTGATTAAATAGGTGTGATGGATTTAGTTAAGGTAGAAATATAGTTTTGTGCCCAACTTCGAGGTTTTTGTGAAACCCAGAAATTGCTAGTTGGGTCCATTAATCGATGGCCAAGTACGAATCTTCAATCATTTTTATGGATGTTTTATGTCACAATTGAATTTTTATACATATTATTTATAAATAAAAAATGATTATATCTATTTATTTAAATTTAATTCTAATGTATGTAGGTTGAATTTAAAATTTGCATAGGCGAGCCTAAAGATAGGCCTGCTTATAAATCATTTCAGTTCAATACAACTCTACATTGAACGTTTGAGTTACACTTCTGATTTCGAAGGTTTTTTGGTGCTATTGTGTTATTAGTTGATTTGCTAAAAATTTGTTAATTTTGCAGTCTTTATTTAAAAGCAATAATTTACATAGTATTTAATTCAATGTTAACAGTTACGGAGAGATATCTTAAAGGGAAGGCTTCAATTTCTATTGAAGGTCAAAATATTGATAGAAAAAATCCAGCAATGTCGATGTGGTTGCTGAAGATGAAATGGATATTCAAGTTGAAAGTGACACTTTTGTTGAGCGAGGTTTTCAAATTGGTAAAGGAAAAGAAAAGCTTCAAGAGTGCACACAATAAAGTTCGAATTAAGTCACTACAACAAAAGTGGCGTTTTAAGGCATTCATTTACGGCGTGCATCTAGCGCATGTTGTAAAAATAGACCAATTACGACATGCGATATATGTTATATGTATGCTGTTAAAAACCAATGGATTGAACTATTTACGGCGTGCTTTCTTTGCCCGTAAATGTTAACTTTGCACGTGTTAATGTTAACATCAATACTGGAGGGAGAAATCCCATTACAATTAAGCCAAACCACTTCAAAAGGAGCCCTCTGCCTTCAAAGTTGGAATCCCCCGAGTCTTGCTGTCGATGATTGAACCTATAATACTTACAAGTTACACGATTCAACCTATCACCCCTACTCCCTTCTCCTCTAAATTTAGCCCTTGTTGTGAGCCTGTGACCGTTCAATCGAGCTAGATTTCATGAGAATCGCCGCCGCCTTTTGCCTCGCGTGGTTGTCATCCACCTTCCACCGTTGCCATCACAGTCAACCCATAAATGGAGTGATAAGGTTAGTGTAGACTATATGTTATTAGTTTTGATTTTACAGTATTAGTTTTGTTTTTACAGACTCCCTTCCAAATTAGCTATGCTGAATTTGTGATTTTGTGCTTTTGGAAAGTTAGAGCATTACGCATTCTTTTACTCAAGCCCAAATTTTAATACACCTAGCCAACTAATTATCTGCACCAGTTTTGTATGTACTATTGTTCAATTTCCAAAAGTGACCTATAAAAATGTATGAATGACTTGCTTTAAACATGGGTTGCAGTAGTGTTGAATTAAATTTTTGTAATTTTAGCTCGTGTGAAACTTTATTGTCAAAATGATGTACCTAATTGGAACTTAATTTCTATGATGTCCTAATATAATCGTTTTCACTGTGTAATAACAGATTATAACTTAGTAGTGTTGGTATATTATCATGGATAAAGATTGGGTACACTTATCAAGGTTATCTTGTCCTCTTAAATTTAGAATATTTCAAAATATGTCTACAAATATTTTGGATGATTTATTTAGCATTTTTTCATAGAGTTTTAGAGGTATATCAACGTGGTGCAGAAAATTTGTAAATATGGTGCAAGTTAATGTGGGGAACCAGAAAATGTCATATGCCCTTGCAAATGTTGCAAAAATCTATTCCACCAACATTTTAATATAATGTATGGGCATTTGATCATTAATGGCATGGATCCTATGTATACTACTTGAGTGTTTCATGGGGAAAAATCGAATGCAGCGTCATTGCCTCCTCAAAATGCAAAAAATTTAGATACGTATAGGATGTATAGAGATGCATTTTTTCAGGATGACAATATTGTAGAACCCGAGAATGAAGATATTGAGAAAGACTTTTCAAATTTATATGAGGGCGTAGAAATTCCTTTATATCTTGGTTGCACAAAGTATACAAGGATATCAACAACTGTTGTCTTATACAAGCTTAAAGTTACATATGGCATATTTGACAACGATTTCAATAAACTTCTTGATATTATCTGAGATATGCTACCACATGGGAACACCCTTCCTAATTCTTTCAATTCAACAAAAAAGTTATTGAAACCCTTTGTTTTAGGGTATGAGAAGATACATGTATGTGTATATTATTGTTGTCTGTTTAGAAATGATCTAGAGAATTTGGAGATATGTCCCAAATGTGCATCTTCACGATGGAAAATCAATGAACGTACTAAGAAGATTCAGAAAGGGATACCTGCAAAGGTTTTACGATATTTTCCGATTATACCACAATTTAGAAGAATGTTTAGGTCACTTGATAAGGCAGAACATTAATATGGCACTCAAATCACAAAATTCTAGATGGAAAAATGCGTCATCTAGTTGATTCATTAGCTTGGGAGAGAATTAATAATAATAAAAAAATGGCCTCGTTTTGCATCAAAACCACAAAATCTTAGACTTGGCCTTTCTTCTAATAGATTTAATCCCTTTGGTGACCTAAGTTCTAGATATAGTTGTTGGCCAGTGATACTAGTTATATATAATCTCCTTCCTTGGATATGCATGTCTAAGGAAAATATGTTATTGACTTTATCAATCCCAGGTCCCAAGTAACTTGGAAATGATATAGGTGTGTATCTAGATCCACTAATAGAAGATTTAAAGGAGATGTGGAACATTGGTGTTGAAGTATATGATGCATTTACCAAGTCCACATTCAATTTGAAAGTTGTGTTGATGTGGACAATTAATGATCTTCTAGTTTATGTTAACTTATCAGGATATCCTACGAAAGGCAAAGCAACATGTCCAGTATGTGATTTATCCACATGTGTAAAATGGTTGACTTGTAGTTGAAAGTTTTCACACATGGGTCACAGAAGATCTCTTGCACATAATCACCCTTATTAGTTGAAAGAAGCTTGATTTGATGGAAACAATGAGCATAGGCCTAATCCTAAAATATTAACCGGTCGAGAAGTGATGTGTTCAATCAAGAATGTTAGCAATAATTGGAGAAAAATATGGAAAAAAAGAAAGATAAAAAATTAGATTCTAATTGGCCTTGGAAAAAAAAGTCAATATTTTTTTAAGCTATCATATTGGAAGGTTAGTCATTTTAAACTATTTTGAAATTTTTATTTCTTTGCTTAAACTTTTTTTTTTCTAAATTTATATTGTTATTTTTCAGACACTATTTTTGCATCATAATTTGGATGTAATGCACATTGACAAGAATGTTTGCGAAAGAATTCTTGGCACTATTTTGCTCGTGAAGGGAAAATCATAAAATGGGTTAAATTCTCGTAAAGATTTAATCAATATGGGTATTAGAAAGGATCTTCATTTAGAATTGAAAGAAAATACATATTACCTCCCCGTAACATCATATATGCTATAAAAAAAAAGAGAGAGAGAGTTATTTTGTAAGAGGATATTTGATTTAAGATTACCTGATGGTTATAGCTCTAACATTTCAAAGTGTATATCATTAAAATCTCATGATTGCCAGGTGCTCATACAACAATTGCTATTAGTTGCATTACGAGGGCTTTTACATAGAGGACCAAGAACTGCAATTTTTCGACTATGTACATTTTTCAACAAAATATGTCAGAGTCATCGATAAAAATAAATTAAAAAAACTTGAGGAGGATGTTGCTATAACTTTGTGTATGCTAGAAAGGTATTTTCCCCCATCCTTTTTTGACATAATGATTCATTTAACCATTCACTTTGGGCGTGAGGTTCGTATTGATGGACCTATGAAATATCTTTGGAGGTATTCATTTGAGAGGTAAATTACTATTGTAATTTTCTAAGTATTCAAAGTTTTTTTCTTCCAATTCCTTAAATTTTTCATGTCTATCATATGATTAATCAGGTTTATGAACACACTTAAAGGATATGTGAAAAATCATTCAAGACTTGAGGGCTACATAAGAGAGCGTTATTTAGCCGATGAATGTATGCATTTTTGTACTGGTTACTTGAAACAAGTTGCTGAAGTAGGTGTTCAACATACTCAAAATGAGGATTTTGAGAATGAAACAAATATTGATGGACATCCAATTTCTACAGGAAAGTCAAAGACTTTGAGTTCAGAATGTTAGAGGTCGCTCATTGTTATGTGTTGTTCAATAGCGTTGCAGTTGAGCCATATATAATGTAATGAATTTAGTTCATATATTAGTTTAACATTGATTGATGTTCTCACACTTAAAGAAAACACAGCAATTTGTATGACCATTAATTTAATATCAACTGATTAATTCGTCGATGCTCCAAAGTAAATCGAAAATTGATGCTTAGATAAATTGATTTGCAAACTTAAATTGTAGGGCCCCAATGATTAATTATGAGATAGTTAGATCCCTTCCCTTTAGACTGAATCCCATTCCATCACCATCCATTCTTACAAACGAAAGAGTCTCTATCTCTTGAAAATCCCGTTTTCACTAAAAAAAATTCTACTGGGTCGCATTCTAACTAATCTTTCTATAGTCTGTACACCTAACATTAATTAATGTGAATTTATTTGTGAGTTTATAATGATAAATTTTGGGTTAAATCCAAGTAAAATTTGTTGAACAACAATATAATAATTAATACATTCTTGAAATTATTTGATTTTACAACAAACTAAAGAAGCAAATGACAAATTCTGAATCTTTTCATTTAATGTCCATTTCCATTTTCAGAATTACAAATCAATATGAATACAGCTTTTTCCATGAACTCTAGTACAACAAGAACAATCCCCAAAAATTACGAAAAAAATAGAAAATTATATATAAAGAGGGGAGGACAAATAATTATTATGTAAATGATAAATATTTATTAAAATCTCCAGTTTCAGAGTTGAGCTAAGCGACGAATATCCATAGGATATGCATCTGATGGTTTCTCAGCACGATACGATCTTCTGCCGATGATGATATTTGCAGATTCTCCGGGATGGAAAGCATCCCAAAATACATATTCATCTCTATTTTGACATGGTGTTTGAAATGGGAGACATGTTATTTGCCCATTATTTCTTCCCACACCACAACACCCTGCGTTTGTAACCCTAAAACCTGCAAAACCAAATCCATAAATGTTAGTAACAATGTTTTTAAAACCTTATCTCAGCATCTACCAATATACTCCCTCCGTCCCATTCATGTAAGTCGACCTTCCTTATTTTTTTTGTCCTAATTATAGTCTTGTTTCTTTATTGAGAATATTATGTTTTGTTCATTTACTAATATACCTTTATTTAATTTGCCTAATTATAATCAGCTTTTCTCACTTAATCTTGAAATTGTACAAATATAGATAAGGGTGAATTTAAAAAGGTTTTGTCAAAATTTGTTTTTTCCATAACACTAATAAGATTTATTAATCCGTGTGAAAAATAAAACCAGTCAATATAGATGGAATGGAAAGAATATTACTAATATTGTCGATGATCATTTTTGAAATTTTCAAAAGTGATTATTTGCTCTATTATTATTATTATTATTATTCTCTGAAAGCCCCATTCAATAACTTTGTCCCAAGTCCTTCAAGTTGTTTGAGCTGCCTCTAGATATCAATGTAAAAACGTGCATATCACATAGGGAACATGCACTAAAGACTCAGAATAATTTTCAAAGTTGGAGTAATTACCAAAGGCTGAAGGATTGTCAATTAAATCCTGGAAAATCCCATAGGCATTTATGTAGATAAACTTTGCATCCCGTGAAGTGCTGTTGAAGTCATCGACAAGTGCTCTCAGCTTATTGTTGAATATTTGATTTGCGACGTTAATCCTTTGTACACATGTAGAGCCATCAGCACTGTTCTGTGCCAATGCATTTGGACTGCATCCAATTTGACCTACTCCAATTAAAACAAACTTTCTTGCTCCATAATTGTACAAAGTCTGTCCACAGCAAATTTGGAGTCAGTTTCAATTGAAAACCTTAACCAGTAGGAAAAATGAGTCATGGTATTCTTCGCCATTCGTGTTAAACATCGGTCTAGATAGCAATTACATGACATTAAATAATATATTCATTTAAATGTAAAGTCACATGATTCATTTAATTAAACTTGTAAAGTGTAGTCATCCAGACCGGTGTTCTAGCACCAGTAGCATTATTCGTAGGAAATAGACTTTTTTCCATGTGGTGTTGTGCAATGGTAAAAAAGATGAGTTCTGTACCCTTATTTGCTCAGAGTACTCTTGAATGAGAATATCGGCATATTGTTCAGGTGAAAATTGCCTGCCAGTTGAGTAGTAGAGAGGCATGAAATAGTTGTTAAGGTAATCGTTACTCCCTATTCCAACTGAATATATACATTTGGTTAGATAATTTGCAGCAGAGTCTTCATCCCCTAATATGTTCACCACTTGTGCTACCGTGGTCTTGTAATTATTTACCTGCCCAGTAAAATCTATCCGGCCGCCCTACAATAATTTCACAAACAAGATTTAACAACGCGAAACCTTGAAGATAATACTAACGAGTTTATGTGGAAAACTGTTTTTAACTCACCAATTGCTGGCCTGTTTCTGATCTAATTCCCGCAGCTGCTGATGCATAATTCACTCCTCTGAGTATGTCTTCGCCACGGGCAGCAGTATAAGGAGGAATGTAATCATCGAATCCCAATAGCTCAGCTGCATATATACATACGCCACCAGAATTTCAGTCGTATTTTTAAGTCATGTACCTTAAATAAGTCATTTGGAAAGCGAAGCCTTACCAGTGACATCGACTGTAGTTTTACCATTGGAGAATCTTCCAGTTGGTCCATCAGGAAAATCAATTCCATAAGGTAAATAGTTAGCTCTTGCCAAGGATTGGATGTTATTGTTATTACCATTGTCCACCAATGAATCACCGAAAATGAAGTAACACGGAACTTGGGGTTCCGCCATAGCCTGCTCATAATGAAGCTCCACCACGGCCAATGCCACGACACACATCGCCAGCCATCTCTGAATCAGCCCACAACCCATTAAAAATATAAGGCAACAGAATGTTGCAGCAGCAAAAAGAGGAAGAGGCAATAAAGAAAGTAAAGGTCTAAATGGCTGGTTTTGTGTGTGATGAAATTAAAGTAAGGACGCACAATGTGTATATATATTGAAGGTTTAGGACAGAGTGAAGAGATCCTATCCTTTAGATGAGGTTTCTTCTTTGTACAAATGAGTAGTTACATGCATTGATTTCACGCGGATATACAGTGAGATTTCCAAAGAGCCCACTGGCTATGCTGGTTATTGAATTTGAACCAGTCCGGATTTTTGAAAATCATGTACTTTTGAGTAATCAATCTTCCAAGGCCTCAAGATACCTTTCCCCTTTTTTACTTCAATTATTACTTTTTTGTGGTTTGATATGCCATCAAATATCGGATGGCAAGTCTCTAATCCAAATATTTAGATGAAGTCTAAGCCTACTTGGATGATGTATCATCTAAAAGCTTAAACTGAGATACGTTTATTTATTCAATTCTGTATTCTTTCCTTTCATTGCTTTTCTCAAATGCATGCCAAATTTATTTTGCATAACGACGGGATATGCGCACACAACTATTCATGAATCTGTCTTCTTTATTATTTAAAAATTTAAATGATATATTTATTTATTTATTTAAATTTTTATATTCAACAAAAAGAATTGCAAATACATATCCTATGTACACACCTTTTAATTAGCACATGAAAATTTGATCATAACTGATCCCTGCATTAATTAATTACAAGAGTGGCTTGTGTACGTATACCCATTTATAGCAATTCCCCTTTTCCTGCAGGTTCTAAATACCCCGTGAAGAAATTGACCTGCACAGGACAAACTGAATTCACTGATTGGATATGAAGCAGTCAAAAGTTGAATATAAACGTGAGGCCTTCTTCGGCTTCCATCTAAGCTGCGCAAGAAAGGTCCAAACTCAATCTCAAGGAACAGTAAAGTTTTTTCGTAGGGTCTTTCTGTCCAGATACAAGTAGTCCGCGGACATATTAAAATGAATAATGCACATTAGTGATACTAGAGCACTAGTTTAGGTGAATATACTTGATAGGTTCAATTAAACTGATCATGTGATACTGCATTTAAATGAAACTATCATTTAATGTCATGTAGTTGTCATCTAAACTCATACATAATACCAGTAATGTCAAAATTGAAATATATGGGAGTACATTTACACTTTATATATCAATTTTTAATTTTTTTTAATTTTTCAAAAGCTCAATTACTATTTCATTTTAATTGAAAAATTATTTTGCAATTTATTCCTAAAATATATTTGAAAATAAAAAGTTACTTAGATAGACCCTGCTGCAGGAGTTCTTGATATCATTGTGTAAACTCAAAGCAAAATCGGAGAAGATCCAAAGTCGACTCCAAGCAAACAAATTAACATCAGCTATAGTAGATCAAGACGAAGAAGATCCAATGACCAAATCAAACGATTAACCAACCTATTGTGGGCATTGAAGTTTAATGCTCGGTAGCTATAGCAACTAATGTTCGGACAAAGTCAGTATTGTTCAGTAACGTGTGGGCGTGCATAGATGAACATTGGACACTGCTGATCTCCGTGAAAATTCTTCATTCCCGTTACAACCCACATGGTAGAAGAAAGCATCTAATGTACCATTTATTGTGATCCATCTTCTTGCCGACAAAATGTCAACACAAGTTTAAGTAAACAAATTTTCCCTCTTGTACTAATTATTTCTATCAATAAATGAGCTAGATAACAAATCGTACATCTAGGGGTAGCTAGAGGGCTAAGGGTCTGTTTGACAGAATTTTTGAAAAATCAACACTTTTGAGTTCAAGGTACCAAATATGTTACAAATGTGTACCTTCACTATGTTTGTACAATCATTTACACCATGTTTCCACTTAAACTTGATGAACGCAAAGTAAAATTTTCATATACTCGTACCAAGATGGGAGTTTCTTCTTTTAATGAAGGTTAATATAGGCAGTGGCACCATTTCATGCATGTTCAAGGGTACTCACTGCGCTGTAAATCGTATCTATTACATCCTATAAAGATAAATTAATGAACTCGAAACTAAACCATGTTTGGCTATGCTTAAAAGTAATTTAAGTAAATTTTGTTCATTCTTATAAATAGAAAAAGTTACTTATTTTAACAGTAAGACAAATGTTGGCATACATTCAGAATAAGTACTTATTTTTAATTTTAACCAACCAAACAAGAACAGAACTATTATAAGATCAACTTCAACACCATACCAAAGTTATAAAGTCAACTAACACATTAAGTGATTGTACATTAATTAAACAACCCCCTTGACTCTTTACTTTAAATATAGAAAGTGTGGCCAACTAATTAAAAGGGCATGGAAATAAGAGAGGATAAGATAATCAATGTAATTTATTAAGATAGCATTTATTGAACATGTGATCAAGATATTGTGCTTCTGTTTCTATTAAATAGGGCAGTTGAAGGAACAGCAGTGAACGCATACTTGGATGAGCATAATCCGAAATATGACTTTGCCTTCTACTGCGTGGAAGACAAGTTGGCAGCTCAAGCCCCACTTTTCGACGTTATGGACAGGCAAAACCTTGCTGGGATCAATATCAGCATGAATGTGGTCCTCATGCCGCCTGTCCCCGATTTCAATATGGTTTAGCAAGTATTTTATATATATATATATATATATATATATATATATATATATATATATATATATTTCATAGTTAACGATTATAATAATCATCTATATGACAGCTTGTTATTTGAGGCATAGTTTGTTATTTGAAGTAACACAAACTGTCAGATTCACAGTTTCACTTATCAATTAATCTGATTGTATAGATTAATTGATTACAGAATGGAGCCAAAAGAGAGAGGAGATCGGGTCCCACGCATGTATAAAAAATTGACAATAAATTGCTGACCCCACGCATTTGTGTCTTGTATGTCAAACTTCTATGAACCTTCATTCTGTGAATAAAGCACTGCTCTTCACTTATATTTACCAAATATGGGATATGGAGAAATTTTATTAGTACCTACAAAATTAGGGAAAAATCAAGAAGTAAAGAAAAAAGAACTTTGAGTAGTATAGCAAAAAACGGCTTAGAGATTCTAAGGACATTCTGATAATGAATTATGCTAGTTGTACAATATTTGTGTACAATTTGAATGACATTTGAATAGGTGGCAAAATCGAGCTCGTTGATTGTATTAAGTATTGAAGGAATTAATGATAAAATTATGTACCACATTATACAATGTAAAACAGAATGTCAATTAGGATTTAGGATGTATGTGTAACAAAACTGTTCTTGTAATTCCATCGACCTATGCGACTCTCTCTGCGTTGGTCCACCCGAGTCAAATCGTGGAGTTCCCAACAACTCGTTGAGGTCCAAGAGCAAAGGGCCTGGGTTTTCAAACCATCGAAATTCTGAGCCCATAATCCCACACTAGCTTGTAAAAGGACTGGAGGCCCAGTTGGAGCTCAAGTTTCTGGACTAAATAATTGTGAGATAAAAGGGCCTCGGGACAGTTTTCTTCTAAATATTTGTTAGTTGACCAGAAAATAAGTTTCTACCTTAATTTAATCAATTTAGCCCCCATTTGAAAATAATTTATAAATAAATAAAAACGAATGGTGGATAATATTTGTGGGTCCATTAAAATAAGTTGTTTAAATAAATGATTTATATATTTTTTATCAAACGGAAGCTCAATGAAGGGGGAAAATAGTCATTTAATATTTAAAGGATTATACCACTTTGCCAAAAGGATTTTGATAGATGCAGTGATGGAAATGTAGGTGCCAACAGATGATTGGATAAAAAAGTTGATTGTGTTTAAACAATATAATGATAGAATATCATATGATATTATGTCAATTTTTCTATCAACCTATCTGACATTGTAGCATGATTAATAATTAAATAATTAAAATAAATAATAGATAGGAAAAGAATTTTAGAAGAAGTGATGAAAAGAAAATAATCATCTTCCCCAACCCGCACCTCGCCTCCAGTAACAATAACAGCCACCAACCAAAGGGATTTGATTTGGGCCAGAAAATGGGGGAAAAATCCCTCCTTGATGGTGGAGATTATTTTGGACAGATAGATGGCAGAGACAAGAGGATATGGGGTTTGGGATATGTATGGTTGTGGTTCGTGGGAGGGGGTGGGTGTGGGTGTGACAACTTTTATTTTTAATTGATTTTTGTCTTTTCTTTTTAAAATTCTTATAATTCTTCTTCTTCTTCTTCCTCATTTTTTTTTTCCTCACTGTGATCAATTTGGAGAAAAGATACAAGAATGTGAGCTATTATGGGACACATAATGCACAAGTTCAACTACTAGTTATTTGTTGAATAGGCAAGATAATTGGGAAAAAAAAATAATGATTATACTTAACAATAAAATATTTGAAAAGGCTCACTTTTTAAGAGTTCGTTTGGGAGTGATTTTGAGAATTGATTTTTTGATCGTTAGGAGAAAAGTGGGTCCATCTGTAAGAGAAAAAGTCAAATATGATTGTTGGAATAGTAAAATAGCTGCCAAAAAAATCAATTTTTTGGAAAAAAAATTACTCCCAAACATGTCCTAAATGGGAGGATGTAGATTGATCATTATGCTCTTCATGGGATCTGCTGGAGGGCCTGGTTCAAAGTCAGGCCCAGAAAAAGGGCCTATGTGATGCCCCTTATTGGAGGGGTGCACTGGCCCAACAAGTTTTCCCTATTCCTCATTAAATTGGTAAATAAACGTCGTTCTAATGTCTTCTGGCTTTGATTTATGTAAAGGTTTGTTATATAGTTACTAATATTACAAGGTTTGAAACTTGACGGCAATTTTTCTAAAAGCTTTGAGATCTCTCAAAAAGGAGTAGTTTTGACACTTGCGTCATTTTTCTTTAGAAAATTATAAAAACCTCGTTTGGTATCCATTTTTTTCAAAATACACTCTCTTCTTTTCAACCACACATTCTTTATTAAAATAATATTACACGTAAATCATAAACTTTTCATTATTTTTCAACCACACATTTCCCGTCAATTTACTATTCAAAAATGCATTTTTACATGAAAAAATCTCCCAAACACCCCCAAAATATCTTTTTTCAAATTTTTGAATAATGCCTCATTTTCATTTAAAAATCATTATTTTAAATTTTAGCTCACTTTATAATTTTTTGAAAGTGTCTCTTTTTCATTTGAAAACGATATTTTTTTAATTATTTTAATTTCATTACTAAAAGTAACATTTTAGGACAACACTATATTACTTGTAAAATAACATGTGGCTT